GTAACTTTTGGGTGCTGGACTGAGGTTTACGCGGCCTGAGTTTTGTTGTTTTATGTTTGGACGCGAAAGTGATCTAAACGCATGGAGATTACTTTGAGAATTAAGCTTCCCAAAGTGATTTGCTGTCATAATATCGACACATCCAATTGGAACTTTACTCTCGAGTAGGAAAACCTTCACCTTGGTTAAATGTGAATTGTGAATTTATGAATTGTATTAGAATGGGTGTCAAAGGGTATTCGCTGCTTACGGCACCGGTCTTGCTGAAAATGAAATGCTGACAAGTGCAGTCTGCTTCATAATTCATGGTTGTTTGAAGGCTGGCCAAGGAAAATGGAAGGCATTATCATTTCTTGTAGTGGATTGGAAATATTGATAAATAAAGCTTTCCGGGTAGGCGTTGCCCAAACAATTTATCAATATATTTTTGTCTGTCAATTATCGTATCTTTTGTGTATTTTCAATTTATTTGCATTTGCACAATTGAAACTATGCCAGAGCGAATCTCGGCCACTGGTCGAAGCATAAAGATTATTGTTCAACGATCATAAGCAGGTCCCCGATAAAGGTCACACACAGACCAACTGGCCTAGGGTCAGTTCGACGGATGATTGTTTCACTAAGTTTCTTGCCTGAATTTCCTTTCCAAGCGTTCAGTAATATTATGTTACAGATTCGGTAAATGAAGGCGCTCACCTGGATACAGATGTAGGCCAGGTGGATAATTGAATTAAATGAATTCGGAACCTAGTCTGCAAGGCAGCAGACTCCACCTTAACCCCGCTCTGGCACATGAGTGTACCACACGAGCTATGCATTGTCTGAAAATGCCTGAAAATGGCCATTTTTGCCTCATAAAAGGCACTTGAAGCAAGCCTCGAATACACTTTACATTCAGTTTAGGCACACATACTCTGCAAAAATGATTGCCGGTCTAGTTGAGTGTGTTTACGTGTGTGTGCGTGTGTGTGTGTGTACAGGACAAGAAGTGAGGAATGTCGGAGAGGGTTATGTGGGCAAAGTTGGCGGATGGTATAGTAAGGATTTTTTCCAGATCGCTTTAAGAGGCCAGCACAAATTGAATCAAATTCAGCATCAGCAACGATCCCAGCAGAACTGTCCTTATGATGACCTCGTTCACGTTCGACATTACGATCATTTCTGTCATCATCCTCATCGTAATAGATACCACCAACATGTAAAGTAGAGAGAGGGTTTTTTGTTAATTTTTTGTGATCGTTGGAAAATAAGGGTTTTTGGTTCTGACGATGTCCGTCACATGATGGCGGAATGCTCAACAGGAATTACTGGGACAATTCAACAGTCACAAGACCATGGCAACCACTTTCGGCATCCGGTGAAGCCAATTTACGCATCTTTTCCAGCTGTCTTTCAGACGAAATGAAATGTATGCCAGTATCAATCTAATAAGGGATTATTCTAAACCCAGTTTCTCTTTATATCTTTGCCATTCAAACTTCTTACGAGTGAAGCAACACTGCTGGTGCTGGTCAGGTTCTCTTCAATTCATCGCTGTGTTGGCAAAATTATCAATTCTAATAAAAATTAACGCTTTTCTAATAACAATTATCAAGTTGAAATTCCTAAATTATCAACAGTTGAGGATACAAGTTATCACTTAAGCAAGTTTGTCTAAAATATCATCGATACAGCCATAAAGCTGTCTCTATTCAGGTATCTACTCAGTTGAGTAGGCCTGTCTAAACTGACTGTGAAGCGTATTCAAGGCTTGCATTGTGTGAATGAAATGAATTGCATTTTGTGGGCAAGAAAATGGCCATTTTTAGGCAAGAGGCTTGAAGACTATGTATTGGAGACGGTATTTGTAGCCAGTTAATTCAATTCCAAAGTTTCCAACAGCCTTTTCCAACAAAATGAGCCACGATTGTATAAGCTCAGATGTTCTGATGTTAAGGTAAAAAAAGTGGCTTAACCAATAGATTCTTTCTTTCCCATCTTATTAATGCCCAGTCAACCTTGATCAACTAATTTTTTTTCTTGTTTAAACAGAAGATGCCATGACTACCGAAACTTTCCTCCCCGATATCAGGACTTCCTGATGATATCCTTAGACAAGGGAGCAATCGCATCTAGACTGGTCTATTCGGCTCTTTGGCAGACCGAAATACCGATGGGATGGAAAATTCACGTGCTCGCTCTGGCCATCTACCGATTCTGCCAATGTACACAATTGGGGAATTCTTACGGGACTGAAGAAGCTGCCAATAAAACGAAGCAGCTGGTCAACATTGAAGCTGGAATAAGCAAGCATTGTAGTTTTCTCGCTTAAAATAGCCGCACACATAAAGGATAAGTTTTGGAATTTGGATAAAGATCGGATAACGATGTCTAAAGTGTTTAACAACTAAATGCATAATTTTGGCTGAACACGGAATTTTGTTAGGAAAACAATTCTGCAAGTGATCATGCCTTGAGATTTGGACAAGAATTTGGACTGTATGAGAAAACTTGACGTTGGAATCTGGCGAGTCTGGACGGTGAATTTAATTTTATGTAGAGACGCCTGATAACTAGAGTCGTAGCTCGATCTCGTCAGATGATGAGGATGGAGTCTTGCAAAGCTTGATACAGTCCCCGGGACATTCTCTTTCAGCTTTCGTATGCCATGCTAATGGACAGATATCGCCATATCTGTATCTTATTCGTATGAAAACAAAAAGACTAACCAACAATTTCCTACATGCCATACGTGATCACAACAACACTAAAAAGGTGCCAAAAAAGACTTAATATAAAATGGTTTTCGAAGGTATAAAAACCAAGATGGTGTGGCCTTTTGTGTGGTCGCAGTCTCCTTTCGTTGAATAGAAGTTGTTTGACCTTGTTTGCTACTCGGTCATATTGGTAGGAAGACTAATTGGAACGCACCTAGTCCGGGGTCCATTGTCTGCATGATCATT